TCTTTCTTCTGAAGTCTTTAATCAGAGCGCCGTTAGAGAGGAATGTGGTCAGTGGTTTCGGCTCCGGGAGCCTGTTTTGCAGATACCTGTTCCAGGTTAACTGGTCCATCAGGTGAATCTCTGCTGTGATGCTGAGCTGTTAAAAACCTTTAGAGCAGGAAAAATGTCACTGAGTACAGTTACTCTTCTATTCTGAGGTATTTTATGGTACATTTATCTGACATTTATCTTTACATAAAGAACAATCAATCAGTGCAATCAGTGCTTATAAAATACATAGTTAATGATTAAACCGGGGCTTTCCAACTTTATGGCTTGAGTTTCTGTCTCTTTGTCACGTCATAGATGTATTAAAGTTGTTGTAGTTTAACAAAAGAGATGTTTTTCCTTTAAAGTTTTATTTAAATTATTCCCAACTAGGGTTACTTGTATCCCGGGGCTGTTTCCAGATGGTACAGGGAGAGAAATAATTCAATTAAACGCTTTACGATAATCAATTTGACCTACATGAGCACACTAGAGCATCAGTGAGGAGATTGGCTATTTCTAAGTAGTTATTCTTAAATATACATTGTATATTTCTATGATTATATTTGGGATATACCCTTTCGTTAACTGCTGCTATTAATAAAGAGGTACTTGAGTTCATTCAGATACTTATATTAATAATATAACATAATCTCTGTGTCTCCAGGCCGCCGTTGAAAAGAAGATTAGATGATTCTTCAGAGCGAGACCGGATGTGATTTTTCGTCCTAGTGCCGCCCAGGAACGTCCAGACCCTCTGTGAGATGTCCACCTGACCTCTGACCCTCGCACCATGGACCTCCGTCTGCAGGCCAACCCGCAGCTCCACTACGGGATCAACGGGGCCGCCGGCCGAAACTCCAGGCAACACGTAGGTTTTTAAAAACCATCAAAAATAAGGTGTTAAAAAAGATTAATTTAAATAGGCTTAAGTCACGTATTGCCAGCTTTAGATATTTCTATTCAATGCTTTACTAATGTGCCACAATAATGTAAAGCGTTTGAGTCAAAATATCTTAATTTGGGGGCAAATATTCAAGCAAATAAGATTAAATTAAGATTAAATCAGCGTATTTCTGCCACCACTTAAAGTCACCATGCCACTCTCTGACCACCCTCTGGGAATATTTCTCTAGATCCGCCCCTGTTCACAGTACATTTAAGTGTATAAATTAAAATATAGCAGCTTTTTTTTTCTTTTTTTTCAATTAAAGTCAAATTAAAGTCAAATTAGGGACCCCCTGAGTAACGCAAAGCTGTGTAATAAAATTCAGGTTGTAACTCCCTGAACCGCCATGTTTCTACAGTAGCCCAGAACGGACAAAAACAAACACTAGCTCTAGATACGGGACGTTAAATAATCAGTGAGCTTTAAATTGCTGATTGGCGCGAAAGCCAGGCTAGCTCTTTCCCTCTGTTTCCAGTCTTTATGCTAAGCTATGCTAACTAGCTAATAAATACGTAAATAAAGCTGATTTAATGGCCAATCACTGGACTCTTGCTATAATATCTGCTTATATAAAGGGGACACAGGTTTGTATAATGACCCATAATGTGTTGAGTCAACCGGAGCATAGAGTAGTCTTGTTCTATTGTCCTCCCAAACACAGCAAACACACATTCGGCCATATCAGATGAACAGCTGATTATTCAAACTGTACTTCACCCCGACTGAAGCTCTGTGCTGTGTTTACACAATGTGCGCAGTCATCGCTAGGTGCTGAGAAAATTACACCTGCTTAACAACTTAATCCCTTCAACATGCCTTGGGGATGGCATTCATTATCACCGCACAACAAACACCAGGCAAACCGGTTAAGCCGCAGTTTTCTAGGTTCTGAGCTGCTTCACGACAATAGACATAATTCACTGCAGCTGAAACCAGCAGATCCGTGTTTATCTCGTATTGGTTTCAGTTGGGTGTTGCTGCAGGTGTCTTGTGTGTGTGTGTGTGTAAAGCAAAACAAGGCTCTCGGTAACCTTGTTGTGGCACTTTTTTCGGTACACTGGTGTCAGCAACAAACCCTGTTTGCCGTGTCAACCGCAAGCTCAAGGTCATCTCCTTGAAATAGCTCAAATGAGCAGCTTCCTTCGACCCGGTGGTTCTGTAATTGTAGTAAAACACGGCCTGTGATCAAAACACCTCATTGTCTAACAAATCTGTTGTCCAAGTGCTGTCACTGTAAAGAAAAACTAGCTATTTTACACTGTAATTCACCTCTAAAGTATAAAGAACAGTGGTAAACAGCTAGCCTGGCTGTCTCTAAAGGTCACAAAATGCATTTACCAGCACCTTTAAAATGTACTAATCAACATAATTTCTCTCATTTAACTCTCAGCAAAAAAAGCGAATATGTATAATTACCAAAATGTCAAACTAAGTATGTACGTAAAAAATTGTAGTCAGGATGTTGCTAGCTTAGCTTAGCATAAAGACTGGAAGCAGGGGGGAAAATCGACCTAAAGCAGCCCCTCTAAAACTTATAACGTATAATTCCAACTAATGTCCAACTAAGTAACCAAGTACGAAGCTGAAGTCAGTATGTTGTTAGCTTAGCTTAGCATAAAGACTGGAAGCAGGGGGAAACAGCTAGCCTGGCTTTGTCCTAAAGTTCTGAAATCCACCTGCTAGCACAGAGAGCTTACTCATGAACAGATCTCGTTTACTTAACCCGTACACAAACACATATGTCAAAACCACAAATTGCAGTTTGTTTGCCAAGAAATATTTCCAGCGGGTTCCTCCTCAAACCACAACCTGTGTTTGTGTACAGATTAAACAAACGTTGTGTTTTTCATTCATTTTCAAGACATATGAAAAATCTAAGACACATAAAAAGTAGGACAAAGGTGGTTTCTGTAGAGTTTTAATACCTGGCGAACAATCTTAATTTGATGAGTTGAGTTACCAATACGAGTTTAAATCTAATTACATCAAGTTTTTGTCACAACATTATTTGATTTTAGTTGCAGAAAGTGATATTTTAAAGAGTTAAGATCAAACTGGTCTGTTTAATTCATTATTTAAACGTTTTAACTCAGTAGTTGGTACCTTTTGTTGCTGTCAGGACAAATCTTTTATGCCCTTTAATCTCAAAAACAGCCTTGTTTGGCTTTACGATGATGCATTTTTAACATTATCTACGGATTTAACCAAATACTCTTAAACCAAGGTCCACTAAAGTAGATTTTTAATCTGGTTGAAAGCTCCAGAAAAAGCTACAAAATGTGGAATTTAGATAATTTTACAGATGTAGTTTAAATAATGCAGTTTTTTAATGGCTCTGCTACTTAAATCACTACTTAAAACTGCTCATTTTCTCGGTCCATTACACACTGTTACAGGGGATTACCTATTCCCTGCAGCCATGTGGTTTGGCTTAAATAGGTGGACTTTCTTTATCAGGACTGAAAAAAGACCTCAAAGCAGAGCAGCAAAATCAATAGTCGCCGAGCGCTGTTATCGGATAGCCCATTGTGTCATTTTTCACTGGCGGCACTGTGTGGAGGAGGACAGGTAGCCGTGGAGGTGAAGCACAGATGGGGATCAGCGAAGGAGGGAGGGGCGGTCGTCCGACAGAAGAGAGGGGGCATTTGAGCTAAATATAGGGTGGGAAAGAAGTTTTGGAGGGTTGGGATGCAGGAACAAACAGGCCTGTGTTCCCTGCATACACATGGCTACTGTATGGGGGAAAAGTCTTGCAACATGGAGTTCAGCGATGAAGAGAAAAGTAAAGACGAATCTGGTGCTTTTATGCTACTGTATCAGAGTGTGTGCTAACAGTTCGTGGGATGTTTGCATCGCCTGAAATAGCTTTACGTTTTACATCTTAAAAGTCTTTTCTCTTGTGACAGTAAAAGTGAAAAATACTGACATAACATAAATTCAAAATTCTGACTTCTGTCTTGCTTGTAAGCTAAGCAGCAGAATTAGATAACTAACAATTAGCTCTACACTGTAATTCAAGAACAATGCTGTTTCTCGACCTGTTAGATTTAGCCTCCAATCTTTTAGCAATATAATGTAAACAATAGGTAGATATTTATGACCCTTTTACAGGCTTCTTGTTTTAAAATTAGTCAGCTTCACTAATATTAAAAATCCGCAATCAAAATCTGCGAGCCACATAAGAAAACAACGGTAGCTGAGTCGAAAATTATGTGTGAAATCAAGATATTGAATTTTGAGTGGTATAAGAAGAGAAAAGCTTGACAGGCTGAACAACAGAAGCTAACTATAATAATAATAAACAGTAACATATATAACATATAAAGTTCACATTGTTCTACAGAAAAATCGGAGAACAAATAAAATCCTACAAAAACATTTTTTTATTAAACATGTTTGACTTAAAGTGCCCAGTTTAGAAATCCAAAATTCCTCACCATCCTCTGTAAATATTAAGAGTTAAACTATTTAAAAAAGATGTTATATGTAATTGGTATACGATGATTCGTACATATTCCGACCTATATATTAAGGAACTAGAAACAACCTCAGACACCAACTTGACGAAAGGTGTATGCAATGTCAAAGTTAGAATAAAAATAATGAAATCACACCACGTCTAACCAGTTTCCTACTGTGTCTTGACCTCGACAGGAAGATGATCTGCGGTTTCTGAGCCAGGAGGAGCAGGAGTGCATCCAGTTCTTCGAGGAGACTATCGACTCATTGGAGGAGAGTCTTGAGGAAAATGACCCAAGACTGGAGCAGAGAATCAGCAGAAGTCTTGTCGAAGGTGTCAATGGACCCCCGACCTCAAGTCCCAACCCTGGTGTCACTGTGTCCTCCTTCTTGGCCAGACCTCCCAGTCCCAAAGACCAGGATATTATAGATCTGGTTCGCCCAAAACCAGACTTGGTGCAGACCAAAGAGCGGCACTTCAGCCCCACCAATCCAGGTAGCGTACAACTGTTGGTTCTTGTTTGCTTAGCTAGGATTCTGGAAACACTTTATAACCCCCAAGTTGACCCAAATCCCTCTCCCAGAAATATAGAAGATAGACTTAAGTGTCTTCAATGGTAACTTCAGCCCTCAAGGGGACTGAAGCTTGAAGTGTTTCCCAGTTTTTCACTTTGCAATTTGTTACTTTCAGATTTTCAGAGTATGCCAACTCCTGAAAGCCACTTTGAGATAAAGCCAAGGCGTGATCAGACAGACAGCTTGCCTTCAGAGTACAACCCTCCCCTACCAAGTGGCAGCTATGGGCCAACAGACAGCCACTCCGCCTACCACCCTCCAGGCTGTATCCCCACCCCGGTCCTGATTGCCCAGCAGATAGCTGAGAACCAGGCAGGTGGAACCTCCAACTTCCTGCCCTCGTCACTCCTCCGCCACTGCAGCCTGGACAGCACAGATGGTCCGATAGTTAAACAGGGTCCGCCTACCTCTGCCAAGCCTTCCCGCTACCCCTCTAACATCAATGTGATCCTCGGCAATAAGGAGCACCACAACCAGTCGCTAGCAAATGTGAACATCCAGGAAAGACAGACGCAGATGTTGGCAAATCTATCAGGGTCACACCCTCTGCTGCAGGAAGATCCTCAGCAGTCCATAGAACAGAAGGCTCGAAATGTTCCCACACGGAGCATTTCCTTCAAGGACCCATCACCAGACAAATCCAGGATGGAGGCCCTGTCTAAGCTGGGCTTAAACAGGAATCGAGCCATGTCCGGGGGTATGTCGCTCCTCGTCACCCCTAACAGCACCTCTCTGGATCCTTCCACAGGTGCAGAAACAAATGCCAAACCTCTGAAGGCCAGTGCTTCCCTAACAACAGAAACCAGTACTAAATTGCCTGAAGCCACTGTTAGATCACCATCTCAGATTTATGAAGACAGAAAAGCTGAGATTCTACGGAGGGATTCTCTTAGGAGCAATGAAGATAGGAACCGCCAAGTGAGCCCCTCACCTCCAGCAGTCACACAGGGCAGCTTCTATCCACCTCCTCCTTTGGATACCAAGACATCCATTCCCCCTGCACCTGAGGTCACCTCACTGGAATCGAACAGCTACGGAGGGAAATCTATCATGGTCAACCCGTCTGTTTCCTCCAGGAGTGAACCTCCAACCTCTCAAACTAGCCATGAACCCAAAATATTTCCACCAGCGTTGGCTAACCCGATTGAGTTCAACCCCTATGGAGGAAAGACCAAAGTCATGACCCCGGCTGCCGTGACCAGGAGCGACCTTCCTGACATCCTTAGCTCCCACATCGACAAGAGTCAAACCTTACCTGCCAAGTCAGAGCCGCTACCCACTGAGCTGAATAGTTACGGAGGCAAGAGCCGAACCATCAACCCCTCCACCGGGTTAAATCGCCCTTCAAAGAGTTTCAAACCTCCAGCCCCAACCCCAGCCCAAAAACCTCCTCGGCACTCCTATCACGGTGCCGTTACTTCCCAGAAAGCAGCGTCGCGAGCCTTGTCCCCTGAACACAAGCGGAGGCCTAGCTCCATGTTTCGTCCTCAAGGCATCACGGTGCAGTTTTCTGGACGGGGGGCGACGGACGAGTCTCGCAGGGACGCGCTGAGGAAACTGGGGCTGCTAAAAGACTCTTGATGAATTAATTCTTCAGTCTCCACCTGAATCTCTGCTGTGGACCTGCTGGTGGAGGTGGTATGCTAGAACCTTCCCCATTTATGTCAGAGCGTGAAGGTGTGGTTGCATAGAGACCTACTTTTACAGAGGAATGGAGCTAGATCCTACAATGGACCCGCACAGCCAGTTCTTGTTTCCTCACAATAAAAAAGACAGACAGAAGAATGACACAGTGCAGCAGCTACTGTTTCAATGACAAAAGTCTTGACAGATAAACTGCTTTATCTTGCTTCTGATCCAGGACATTGAATACCTCTGCACAAGATTTTGGAACAAACTGATGCTGTAAAAAAGGAGCATCCGCTTCCTGTGGGAATCATATAACATTTGGTCTCTGGTTTGCCACAACCGAGGCTCATTGTGAAAGTTTAAAACATCTTAATGAAAAAGTCTGGAGATATTCTATATATATATATATATATATATATATATATAAGACCAAAACTACCAATGTGTTAGTCCGCCTCTCAATACTTTATGACTTCGCTACCTTGGCACTGTAGTTTTTTATCAAACATTACTCATACAGGAGAAAATAATGTGTTTGTTGGGGACTATTTTCAGTGGGGGATTAATACACATTCGATTCGAACCAGGCAAAGCGGGCGACTGTCCCTGCATCCCAACCCCTATAGGGTCCCCAAAAGGTACGTTATGTGCCAGTTAATTTTATTAGTAAATCTAAAAAAAATCTACCATTATTATTTAAATATTTAAATAAATGTGTGCTTAAAATTGCCACAAACTAATTGACAAACTGTAAATAAACAATTAAATTAGAGCAGTTTAATATAAACAACCTCTCGTCACATACTCAGAAAAAAAAGAATTTAAGTTATATTATTTGTTTTTACGGTGTCATTTTTCTTCCAGCAACTGTCCGCAAAGTGAAATTAATGTTCATACACAGGCTGTGAAGTCTTTATCACCCCTGTAACATGGGAACCTTTTGTGTTTTCACTGGTTTGTGTATCGACTTTTGGGCATTTTAGTCAGCGGGGAGAGCGTATGTGTGTGTGTGTGTTTTCTGTCTGCACTTTTGTTTAAAGTACTTTTCTCTGGAGGAATTTTATTACTTCTGAAATAACCAAAACTATATTGTCAAGAACAAAAGGCATAAATATAAAGTATATAAAGAAGATCAAAGAAACAAGACATGCAAAGTCAAACTCGGTGCCTGTTTTCTAATCGTTTGAGAATGAATATCTCCACTGATTCGGATGACCTGGAATATCAAGAGATGCACGAGTTGAAAGTGAAAAGAGCCTGGGGTTTTCTTGAAAGATGCAAAACTGAGCTGAGCTGGAGGATATTTTTACTCCACGGACAAACCTCCCACACCAAACCACAGACTGTGGAATGGGTTTTTGCGGGCAGGACTTTTACTTTTTTACTACGCAGAGGGAATACTTTTAAAACTGCTCTTTAGGGATGGGCGAGCACATGGCATTGTACAAAACACAAGCACTAAAACCCACAGTCTAGAAATACATCCTGGGTTACTTATGTGTTTTTATTCCTTTTTTTTTTCTCGAGCTGTTGTCGATAACTTTGCAAGTGTGTTATTTAACTGTTGTAGCAGCATGTATGTGTGTATGTATGTGTGTGTGTGTGTGAGTAAGTTTACTGTGTTTTATCCAGACTCCGGCTTCTGTAGCTCACCTACAGTAACTTTTGAAGTATATTTTGTTTCACATAGAAGTACCCAGAGTTGTACTTGTTGTCCTGTGTGAATATTTCTGTGAATTTTGTTTACAGACTCCGGTTCTCTGTAGTTCAGCTACAGTCATTTTTGAAGTATCTAATGGTGCATGCATTCAGTTTATAACTACATTCTGTATAACACAGCCGACTTTATAAGGAAATGTTTTTGCTACGTGTAAACGTCTTCACAGAACGGGGTTTAAAGTGCCTCCATGTGTGGTAAATGGGAATATTAGTGGCCATGGTTAAAGTTGCTGCTACGCTACAACTGTCCACATTATACTGTATGTACTCTGCTTAATATATCTACTGTTGAGTTTTTTTTGTCAATCATTAAACAGAATAATGTACACCTCCTTTCTAATTGTTTTTCTTTGAATAACTCTGGAATGTAAAGAATGAACAGGTGCCGTTCAATGATTGGCCACGTTGGTGCAATGGTTCACCTGAGTGGAAACTTACAGGATGTTTTAAGGGGATGAGGCGGCTTAAAGGGAGCAAAAGAAAGCTTACCTTAGCATAAAGACTGGAAACAGTGGGAAACAGCTAGCCTGCCTCTGTCCAACTGTAACACAACTCACCCACCAGCACCTCTATAACGCAGTTTTACAGGCGTTTGTTGGCCACTTACTGGAGTCTTGAAGACATACATATCTTTAGCATTACATTTGAGTAATGGTGGTGATAGGTTTGACATTTTTGCAAATAGATACAGCCCATACATACATTGGAAGAGGATTTAATTGCTGTAATCATTCCTGCTGTTCATGCTGGACCCTTTCTGATGCGCTTCCAGTGTAAACAAGTGTTTATTTTAAGCTAATATGAGCCTTCGGTAGTCCAGTTTAGTCAAATCAAATGGGTTTTGTCCCACATTGCTTACGTTAAAAGTTCATTAAAGCAAATCTTTAAAGCAGCTATAAGGAACTTTCATTTTGTGTTGATTCTGGCGGCCCCTGGGGACAAAAGAGGTAGTGTCTCCACCGCCATTTCCACTGATATGGAGGGAAATGCGTCTGAATCCAACCAGTCGGCAAGCATTAAAAGTACAGAAAACAGCCAATTCTCTCGCTGACGGTCTTGTTTTTGTTTATGTAGGTCATTTAGAGGCATTAGTATTAAACTGAGACTGTTTCATAACCAGTTAAAAACTCCTTGTTGTACATTTATTGTCCAGTATGAACATGAGGAATGATTACAGTAAGAAAGATGATTTTTACACATTCAATCGAAGACATAACGTGTTATCCAGTGGGCTCATTATCCGTTACCTCTTTCACTCTGCTCGGTCTTTCAGAAGCTGTAACTTCTCTCTCTGGCTCTGTTTAAAAGCAAGAGGGAAGGAAATACTGCATACTGGGTCCATAAACAGTGTTGGAAGTGCATAAATTGGGAATAAACTGGAAAGCTGAGACACATAGTTGCATAAGTCAGTGCACCACGGTCCAAAAAGTCTGGACACGCCCCCGTTTCATACAGAGCCAGGCTACCTGTTTCCTGGTTTTCAGTCTTGATGCTACGCTAAGCTAACAAACATGAGAGTGGTGTCAATCTTAATCAAACTCTCTGCCAGAAAGAATAAACATAATCTCCAAAATGTCTTATTTAACTATTGCCTGAACACCATAAACCTGTGGGTTACGGTTAGGAAGAAAGCTCCTTTAAATGTTCAACCCAGCAGGAACCAGAAGTCTTTTTCAGCTTATTTTAATAACGAGGTTTTAGAACATTTTCTTATGTTTTTCTGACCTACCACATATTTCACATTGGACCACTTGTGTGTTGAACACCAGCAACACAGAAGCAAACTGTCTGGACTGCAGACGGTTACATAAGACTCAACACAGACGCTTTCTTTCCTGAAGAGCGCTGCTCGACGTGTGGACGTGTGTGTGTGTGTGTGTGTGTGTGTATAAAGGCATCTGTGGGAGTGTCAGATGATGTCTGACATTCTGCTTTACCATTGTTTCTCTTAATGAGGGGTTCATGTCTGTTAGCAGCTCATTCATTATTGTAGTTGATTTACGTTTAACCAAATTACCACCAACCAACAAAAGGCCCCGTTTACACCTGGTATCAACATGTGATCTGTCTCTTAATACATTTACAACTGGTAATAAAATGCGTTCCTTATCTCGAGTGGCTGCATTGTGATCTCAGTATGAAAATGGCTCGTCAGCAAGGTTCATTCATTCCATAAATCCCTTTTTTTTTGGGAGGGGAAGCTTTAAAAAGGTCCAGTGTGTGACATTTAGGAGGATCTATTGGCAGATATAGAATATATTTATAGTTTTAGTGTGTAATCACTTGAAAATAATAATTAATGTGTTTTTGTTAACTTAAATTTAGAAATTTCTATCTTCCATGAAGTCCACCAAAGGCCAGTCTCAATAGGGCCTTTGGTGCAGTTTTTCCTACATGCTTGGAACAAGAGGGTGAGGCGAGGGGGTTGCAACTAAACAGCTAAATCCTACACACACTGGACCTTTAAGTGTGTCTTAAAACTTTAAAAAAGCAGTGTAGGAGCCTTTTTTGGGTGATTTTTGCACTGAACTTGGGACGATTCCTACTTTATTTATCTAATCCAGACTGCAAAAACCAAAATATTTACTTCAAATAAACATTTAAATACACTTTTGCACAGATTGCAGACTGTAAATTATGTCAACTATTCCAGTAACGGTGCATTAGGATGTCCAGGTATGAACAGGAAGCAAAACCAGCTTCATAGAGAACCTGAGAAATGTGAACTTACCCTTTAATGGAAACTTTAAAGGGTGGTAGGTGGGTGGTAGGTGGGTGGTCAAACCCCCCCCCCCCCCCCCCCCCCCCAACTCAACTAAACAGAGCTACAGTAAGCAATCTTTTACATATGCAGCGTTTAGAGGAGCGACTGGGCAGGAAATGAGGAAATACTTCTGTGCGCTGCCTTCTAATTAGACCTCGACAAACAGACGCACCCTCTCAAACACAAACGCACGACAGCGCCTCGCTTCACAGACCGAGGCAGATAATAATCTCCATACATTTATTGTGATCATCATGAGCCGAGACACAAAAGCTACGTAAGCTTTGGAGGTTTTTCTTTCTTCTTTAGGCTTGCAGGAAAAGAACAACAGTTTGTGAATCTAGACACAGACAAACTCAATTCGAGCCACCGCTGGACGCTTCACTACAACAGAAACAAAAGGTCCCATGCAGCAGAATACAGAGTATATTTATCCATCTACAGATAACAGATCAAATGAATCTAAAATATCACTGTCAAAGGAAGACACTCAGGCACACGGGTTATCCATTTGTCTAAATAAAATAAAAAAGTTACACTTCACAAATCAAAGCAAGCTGAATATTGTCAAAACTAAACTCCTGATTCTGAAAAACCAACAAAAAAAAAAAAACACCAACAGGAAGTTGGAGGAAGTGAAGAATATGTACACTCAGGTGTCCATCAGTGATCGGGGTCACGTGACGCCGTCCCCGAATACAGATCTTCCCCGGAGTCTGAATGATGCCTTAAAAGTGTCCCGATGGTAGACTCTTGTTCTGGTGGTGTGTGCTGATTCAGGCTGGTCTTTCACGTTTGTTCCCTTTGTTGCTCGGCTTATAAAACGGTATATATCGCTCGTGTTCCACTCACATGTTGCTTCTTTAGAAAGATAATTTGTATGGTCTTACGGGCTACGTGCCGGAATATTTCTTTGCCGATAGCACCGACTTCCTGGACACAAAATTACCGTTTTTTTTTGTTTGTATTAAACAAACAGGATATAAAGTGTCTAATCTGTGAGCTTTACAGGAGCTGCTGGGTGGATTTTATTATCTTCAACAGAGCAAAGCTAGCTGTTTCCTACCGTTTACAGTCTTTGTGCTAAGCTGAGGTAAACTTGTTCCTGGCTTTAGTCTTATATTCACCGTACATGAGAGCGCCACATAGCAAATAAGTGTATAACTATTCCTTTAATAATACACCGGTAGAACGCTTCGTTTAACGTTTCCTCTAAAATTTATCCCACATTTTAACCAAATTTTGAGTAATTGAGCAAAAGAAAATGCAAATGAATGCTTGTTTCTATCCAAAACGCCAATTCTCCCGTCTGAAAGACGATGTGATTTAAAGAGCGTCAGTGGAAACTTTAGAATTATAACATTTCTGTTTGTTTCCTGTATTAAACGTTCACAACGTCACAACTTATTAAGTGTTTCTGCCTCCCATTGAGCGCATTAACGGTCAAATTTTGCCGTTTCCATCAAACTTTTCAGATACTCGACGGAAACACAGCTATTGTTTCCTATCATTGTTTTTCGATTTATTTACAGGTAAGTTCCTGGAAAATATCTTGTTACTTGGTGATAATTATAAGGAAAATGGAGACAGTGTTCAAGGAACAGCTTGATAAACTAACGATTAGTTTCATTACTAATTACTTTCTCTAAGAATCGTTTGATCAAAAAGA